CCGATGGTTAACAAACAACCGACGTTCACGCGTGCAATCATTCGCACGCGGTTATTCCGGCGATGTCAATCAAGGTCGTCTGTCCCCTCAGCAGGCAGCAGCGGGGATGGGAGCACGGTCGGAAGGAAGGGCGCTTTTGTCGCTTTCGGCGAGAGCGTTCTTTCTACCGGAACATGGTCGTGGGGCATGGGCCCTACTGCGAGGAGGGAGAGGGGGGGGGGGGGTGAGTATTCTTGATACGAAACCACGACGACATACACCAGTCGACTCGCGTGAGTGAGTATTCTTGGCGGCCCGCTGCGCGGCTCCTCGAGCGCGAGATGTGTCGTCTACGAGGCGGCGGCAAGCGCAGGCGGCGGCGGCGCGGCAGCGCGGCGGCGGATCGCGGCGCTGACAACGGCAGCAATCTGCGGCAGGCTGCTGCTGGCTGCTGCAGCTGCTGCTGCTGCTGCTGCTGCTCCGCTGCTGCTGATTGTGGCTACGATTTCTCCGATCACCCCGCCCGCCCGACCCGCCCCGCCCCCCCGCCTCTCCCCGCTTGCCCGCCCGACCGCCCGCCCGACCGACCGACCGACCACCCACTCCCATCACCATCTCACATACCTTCATATAGGCGCTCGAGACCTCCTCTCGCTGCCTACTCGCTGCCTCGAGGGAGGAGGGGAAGACGTCGGGCTGAGCCAGCTTGCCCTGGATCGCCTGCACTGAGGCCCCTCCCCGAAACGCAAGTTTAGCCTCACGAACCGAGACCCTCCCCCCCCACCCCGATCCCCCCCACCCCCTTGCCCCCCTCCCCCCCTCGGGAGGGCCGAAGAGAGGCGCCCATGGGGACCCCGCAATTCCCTTCCCCCCTCGGAGGGGGCCGGACGAGGCGTACCCCGAGGGCCCCGCTCTTTCCCTCTATAGCGGCCACTCTTCGGATCGCTGGTCGAGCGACCCGGGGGATGCCCCGCGCGCGCCTGACCCAGGCGCGAAAACGAATCTGCGAGGCGAGGCCGCTCACGCGGCCCGATGGGGAGGAACGGGGCGGACTGCGGGGATCGGCCTCTTACACCGCCCTTCCGTGCAGCGAGCCCCCTCCAACCCACCCGCGCTAGGAGGCTAGGTCTCGGGGGACGCAGGGGTCACACCCGACGACCTCGGGAACTAGCCGGGGCAGTCGGAGAAGGGGCAACTCCGTGCACTGACGGTCGGCCGTCAGAAACCACGCCTGCGTGGATCGGGTCACACCAATCCTCGCTACCCAACGCGGCCAAAGGATATCCACCAAAAGAACCTCCAGCCCGCGCGGAGTCTTCTTCATCATCGCTCCGAGTGACGTGGCAAAGCAGGGTGTGTATATGTTCGCCCTGGCCGCCGCCTCTTCCGCCGCCGCCCCGCTTGAGTCCGTCGACGGCGCGGCCTTCTTCGAGCCCTTCAGCAGCGACTGGGAGTCGCGGTGGCTCGTCTCCAAGGACGCCGACTTCCAGGGCACGTGGATCCACGAGGCGTACACGGAGCCCGAGGGCACGCCCGGAGACAAGGGCCTGATGGTGGGCAACGAGGCGAAGAAGCACGCGGTGTCGCACCTGTTCAAGGAGCCGATCGACCCCAAGGGCACGGGCCTGGTCGTGCAGTACGAGCTGCACATGAAGAAGGACCTCAAGTGCGGCGGCGCGTACCTCAAGCTGCTCACCGCGTCCGAGGAGCTCGACCACGACGGCTTCAAGGCGGAGACGCCGTACACGATCATGTTCGGGCCGGACAAGTGCGGCGGCACCAACAAGGTGCACTTCATCCTCCGCCACAAGAGCCCGGCGACCGGCGAGTGGGAGGAGAAGCACCTCAAGAAGGCGCCCACGCCGCTGCTCGCCGTCGGGGAGACGCACCTGTACACGGCGATCGTGGGCGCCGACAACACGGTGACGCTGCTGATCGACAACGAGGAGAAGGTCAAGGCCTCGCTCCTCGAGTCGGACGACTTCACGCCGCCCGTCAACCCGCCCAAGGAGATTGACGACCCCGACGACAAGAAGCCCGACGACTGGGCGAGAGAGAGCAGCCGCCCGCCGCCC